AGTATTACTTCTTCAGTGTATAGTAACTAATAAGATATCTTGTGATTAAACCAAACTCTTTAAGTAAATACTAATTATTTGAAAAGAGACTAATATAAAAAGAATGTGAAGAGAATGAAAAAATTTTTGAAGTACTTTCTTATTAGTTATAAGATCAATAAATACAATTATTCAAGGTTTTCATCAAAGACTCTTCCCATATAGTTTTCCACATGTCCATTCAGTTATAGTTAACCAAACACTGTAACACACTCTTATGTCCAAGTTCAAAGCAATTAAGAAAAGAAGAAACAAAACAAAACAAAAATTATCATTGGCCTGGTCCATTTGCACACCAATTTTCTTTAAGTTACAAAGGAAAAATGTTTATAAGTTTAACATTTTATGCTAATATCTTCCATCAGTATAGACCACACACATGTTGGACACGGAGCCAGCCAGCTGCTGCCCACAAGAGGAAAATATCGTAATCACAATTTTACAGACACACACACACATGTGCACATGTCAAATAACTTCGGTGGACATCCAAAGAAACATTCAGTCTAAGCTAGGATAATGTACTTCGTCTTCCCTTTTACCTAGTTAAATTAAGCAGGCTGGATCTATTAAGGTCAGGGAGGAAACCAAAGCCATCTGAGTGTGTACACAATGACCCATTTACTATCCTATGTTCATCAGTATAAGGAATCTTCTAAAGAGAAACTATTAACAATACAGGGGCCACACAGCACAATAGCCAGGAAGTATCAGCACAGGACCTGAAAGGAGCACTTAGCAGCTGTGGCTGGAGACCACGTGCACTCTGGGATGGACTGGTGGTAGGGAAGGACGTGAACAGGACCGAAGGGCTTTAGTTCTCACGTTCAAAGTTCCCACCACACTCCTCTCTAGGCAGCCTATAAGCCTGTCAGCTATTAGCTATTTAAAACTTCAAGTCAAAGCAACCTGCCAACAGGCCATCTTAAAATCATTGACCACCACTGAAACTTAATTTCCAGTTGCCTTCATTTCATACATGCTATGAATATACTCTCAATGGTTGAAATGAGCAAACACGTAAACCTTCCAAGTTGTTGGAACTTAAAAGATAACCCTCTGAGGTTCCATCCAGGTCAGCAACACCAACATATATACTTTTCTCTGTTTTGCAGTGTGTGTACAGTCAAATTTGGCTTAGAGGCCCAAAGGGGTAAAAACCAACAGCACTGAGTTTGAGAGGCAGACAAAATGTAGTATCTTAATCATGGGTACGCGGTTATGTGTCACGAACAGCTGTCACTCAAACACTGCCAGCTACCTGGCCTCCCAGTTTCCCATCGTGAAAGCGTGCACAGCCATGTATTCATATAGCCATATACCACAGACATCTACCAGAAATGCACAGATGTGCTCCCGCCATTGCAGGCATGGGCCATGGCTGCCATTTCCCAAAGAAATATATTCCCAACACCATGGTGGTGGAGCGTTCACCCCTCAATGGTTTCTACAGTTACATATTCTCAGACAATCATCAAGTAGCAGTTTTAGTTGCCAAATACAAAGGATACAATAAAATCTTTAGACATTTTTGTGCTAAAAAAAATTGTACAATAAATCATTTTGAAATTAGGATCATCTCTGAGTACTATGGATACAGGTATTTACTGTTGACTCTTCTGATTTGCAAAATATTCTCTGTAGACTCGTATTACCTGGGGAATGTGGGAATGACTTGCTACTGGTAGTATAGACTTCCATAGCATAGATTTTTTAAAATCCTAATACCAAATATGTCCACCAAAAAGATGAAAAATGTTTGCTGAAACACAATTCTTATTTCTTTTCACAGCCGGCAGTCATACATTTATTAATTTTTAAAATAGCATTAAAATATTAAGGTTGTTATTTACCATAATAATGGTTTCAGTTCCCATAGACTTGGTTTGCTATTAACCAAAAGAAAAGGCTATGCGCCTTTACAGAGCGACCCGAGGTCAAAACTAAATGCTGCATATGGAGCTGATGAATTTGCCAGACTCTCATGGTGATATTGAATTATTTCCCCCAAAGATGGAAAAATACCAACCATACAAATAAAGTCACCTGCAACACCTTGAATTTCTTACCAAATGCCATTTTTTTTTCAGTAAAAGTAACTTAAGAAATGCCCTAGCATTGCTCTAAAATCATAACTGAGCAGAGAAAGTCAAAGCCTGCAGTTACTGAAATACCCCTTTTGAGTTAAGCGGTGGGATTCTTCTCAACTCCTTTCAGTGTCACCAAAATGCACTTTCCGGGCATGACCGGAACCCGTCCTTTGTTTGGAAATGGACGCAAGCCATGCCGAAGGTTCCCATTGCACACAAAGATTCATGTTTTCCGGGGAAAAGGACTTCTGTGACTTGGTGTTTCTTGTGACGTCAAAGGAGAAGAGCCATTGCCTCCATTTTGGAGACAGGAGCCCAAGCCCATCTCTCTGGATGTTCTGCCCAGCTCGGCCCCTGCCACAACCGAAGCCACAGGGCTGGGCTGCAGGAAGGAATCAGTCACACAAACAACCCCTCTACCTAGCTGCCTACCTATCCAGATTCAGATTCTCCCCCAACATGCCTGTTCACCTAATTTTCCACAGCTTAGCCAACAACAAAACATCTCCATCTGGTTCATTTTTCCTTTGCATTTTAACTGCAGCCCGGAAAAAGCCTGGCTAGTTCATTGGGGCCTACTTTAAACCAAATCCAGAAAGCTTTAAGGGAAATAAAAGGTGTCTGCCTGGGTTTCTTTTATGTGGAAATCAGATACCCAAGGATCACTTGTGTTTCCATAGGAAATTTTCCATCTTCAGTTTTTCATTGGTGTTATTCTAGGCAAAGAAGTACCCAACTGCTTTCACCACCACGTCTCTCCTTGAAATCACAGCTCATCACCCCATTTGCTTCAGAAACCTCACCTCCAACTTCAGGAGGAGGCACAGGGCCCTGCCTGTGCAGGGAATGAAGATTTCACATGACGCAGCCCTAAGCATCCCTGGACTGGAGAAGCATGGAAGAAGTAAACGTCCCTCCCTGCTGTCCCTCATCAGCAACGAGCTTGAGGGGGATCTCACCGGCACCCCTGCCCTCCGGACACAGGTGTTCTGCACACAGACATTCATGTAGGCCCTCCATCCCCAGTACAGTGTGTCCACACCAATGCACATGACAGCCAGGCAGGCATGAGGGAAAATAGTCAGCTGTCCCCAATCAATACCTCTTGGCCTCTTCCCTTCCCACCCCACCCTCACTTCTTCCCCACACAGCTTCAAGTCCACGCAGATCTGGGTCTCCAGCATTATCTAATCAGCTCACTCCCACCCCACTCCCCGTATCCTGAGGAAACACGTAAAACCCCATCTGTGGGGGAGAAGTCTACTCAAGTTGTCTTGCTATAGGGAGCTCTGATGAAGTGTGGCGAGGGCATTCCTGCGGAGGGATCTCAACTCCCAAACGTCTTCCTGCATGTGCTCCTGTTCCTTTTTCTCCTCCCCCTCCCCGCCCCCTACCTTGCTCCTCGCTGCTGTCCCCAAACCAGGCAGTGGGTTCCTCCTCTGGGAGCTGGGGTTCTCCGCCACCTCCTCCACCCTCGAGGGCTTTGCGTTTCTTCGACATCTCTGCCCAGGGCTGGGGATTTGGGGGTTTTCTTTCCCCACCCCCTGGCCCTCCCCCCTCGGAGAGGAGAGTGAAGGTGGGGTTAGATGGAGGGGAGGGGGTTAGGTGCAGAGGAAGGGGTGGGGAGAAGAGCCCAGAGAGGGAGATGGAAGAGATTGCTGCTTCAGGAGGGGAAGGGACTTGGGGTGGCAGGAAAGGCAGAGGGGCAGGGACTCAGTGCAGAAATCCTACAATCCGGTCCATCAGTGTAGCCCTACGTCTAGGAGACTGTTTGCTGGTGTTGCGCCTCTCTCTCTCTCTCTCTCTCTCTCTCTCTCTCTCTGCCTCTCCCTCTCCCTCTCTCTGTCTCTCTCTCCTCTCTCTCTCCTTCCTCCTTCCTCCTTCCTCCTTTTCCTTCAACTAGAAGGGTGAGCCGAGAGGGGAGGAGAGATCAAACCAGAGATGAGAGGCTCCTTGGGTGCCTCAGCGGATTTCTTCCCCATTTGGAGGGGCGATGGGGTGGGGTGCTGTGAGGACTCCTGGCCCTGTCTAGCTATGAAGGAGTGGTATCTTCTGGCTGGGCTTGGCTTGGCTTGGGGGGAGGAGGGGCAGGACAGTGTTTGCAGTGTTTGGGGAGGATGCGATTTCAATGGGTTGCAAGGAAAATTGGGTGAGATGAAGAAAATAAAATGCTGCAGAATGCAATCTAGTGATGCTTTCAGGTGCTGGGGACTCCGGACCCCCTCCTCCCCTATGACATCATAGGATCTTTCGCAAAAGAGACTGGGGAAGGTGGGGGGAGAGAAGAGAGTGGCGGCAGAGGGAAGGATCAAAAGCGCAGGGGGTCCTGTCCCCACTGAGAACTGGAGAAGGGCGGCCGACTGTGGAGGAAGGAAGTTGCAGTGCACACACCATCCCTTCTCCAGGCCGCCTCGGGAGGCACCTGCGGGTCTGGCGCGGCAGCCGCTGCGGTTTGCAGCTGGCGCGCAGCCCTCGCTGGGAACTTGGAGCTCTCAAACTCCTCGGATCAAGCGTTAGCCCCGAGGCTGTCAGTCGGCGCTGGGGCGGGCTGCAGTCTCTCTCCCCTCCTCTGCAAACCCTTGAGTCTTCCGGCTTTAAAAACTCCCTTTCTTCTTTCTCGAGTTCACTCATCACCCTTTCCCCCAAACAGTCACGTCCACAAACACAACACACCACACACACGCACACGTTTTCTTGTTGCTAAACAGGGTGGGGGGAAAGGACAGGAAGTTTTTTTAAGTACACACACACACACACACACACACACACACACAAAGATTGGGACTAAGTTTTTCTGGACTCTCAAGGGTTAAATAATAGGTAAAAGGAACTGTCAACTTACCCGCCAAAGTATGCTGACGCGTGTATCTGCTTTCCGCTTCATTTCGAGTTCATAAATTTAAAAAGAAAGAGAGAAAGAAAGAAAAAAAAAAAGGTAAGGTTCCGGGAGCACAGTGGGTCCAGGGTTCCACGGAGAACTGCGCAAAGCAAGTTGCCAAGAAAGCCCGCCGGCCAAGTTCGGGACCTGTCCACGCTCGCGCGCTCCGCTCAGCAGGCAGATTCCAAAGGCTTGGGGCACTCTGGGGTGCGCGCCGATCTTTTCGCAAAAGGCGAGTGTGTGGGGTTCCTCCTTCCCACCTTTCCATCTGGGGGTCTCGAGGAAAGTTGCACCCAGTGCCTTGGGCGCCCATGAAGACCAGTCCATCTCAGCTCAAGCTCCCAGCAGCAGCAACTTCGGACTCAGACCTCTCTCTCTAGAACATGAGTGCTCATGTGTGCGTGCGTGTGTCTCTGTGTGTGTGTGTGTCCGCGTGCACTTGACATTTGGGGGTGCATATGCTCTCAAGAACGACTCTCCCGGCTGCCCAGAACTTAGAGAGTTTCCCTTTAAGCCGGAGATGCTGCTCGGACACCCCCCCGCGTCCAACAGGAGGCGATGACGTCTGTAGCCTCGTTGCCAGAACAGTCCCCAGGCTGCCGCTGCCGTTCATTGACAGGAGCGGGCGCTCGGACGTCAGCAGCCGGACCTTTGGCAAGGCTGCTCCCGCGGAGACGGTTCCCACCCCCGCACCTGCCAGCCCGCCCCCCCGGGGGGATGGTCACGAAATCAAAGCCTCCAGAGGAGGGGGCCGGGCCGGGGAGGTGCTGGGACTGGGGGAGGGGGGTGACTCGAATCTGCCCTCTTTGTCCTGGAGCACCGGAGTATATAAATAGTGCAGTCTCCAGCCAGACTCTCTCCCACTATTGCACGCCCCCGCAGTACCCCCCATCCGACCCCCGCCCCTTGTCACTACGCGTCGGGTTCGCTCTGCCAGGAGGGAGGCTGGGGTGCGGGGAAGCAGGGAGCGCAAACAGACATTGGTTCTCTTTCCTCTTCCCATTCATAGATTTCGGTTGGAGTCCTAGGGCCGCCGCGCCTGGAGTCGCAATGAATGGATGGATGCCCGCGCGCTGGGACCACCAGGTCCGCAGAGACGTAGCCGGCGCTAGGGGCGCTCCTCCCGCCTGGGGACAGGCGCCCTCGCCTCGGCGCAGTTGGGGGGGACCCCAAACTACCCTTAAGAGGCCAAAGGCCTGCTCTCCCCTTTCTCCCCAACACACACCAGGGTTATTTTCTGTCCCTGAGAAGTTGGGACGCAAAACGTAAGGAACTGCGATCAGTCTCCGCACCATGAAGAGGTCCAGATAGGGACCGACGCCAGGGCCATCCCGCAGCACGGAGGGTAGCAACAGACAGGGGAGCGCCCACGTGGCGCAACGCGGTGGCTGAAGCCAAGCCTGTAGCCTCTCCCTGAGCACCGCTGGCGGCCCAGGACCGCGCGCTCTCCCTTCCTGAGCACCGAGCGATGCACTGCCCAGGGAAGGAGGGCACGGCGGGAGGGTGCGTGCAGGGGACTGCTGCGCGGATTCCCCACCCGAACCTGGCTCGCGGGGAATCCGTGGGCTTGCACTCGCCAGAAAGAGCTGCTGCAGGAGCGGCAGAATGGTAAGGCCCGTTCCCGATCCTGGGTGGGAGGAACTTAAAGGACTGAGTTCTGAGGCACCAGGCACAGGGCGCAGCTTCATAAATGCACCCAAAAGCTTCCATGGACTGACGGCACAGATGTGGCTGAAGTGAACCTAAGGACGTTTGCTACCCCAAGACCCGGGCTTCAGGCCAGGTGACAACGGACGCCTAGGAGTGTGGTAACACCTGCGCAGAGCTCCTGGTGGTTCAACCTGTCCGAGAAGGTTGCAAGAAGATGCCACTGTCTTAGCTTTCTCCCCTAGTGCTCATACCCCAGAAAAGGTCACTGGGGCACTAGATCCGAACCCCTTGTGCCATGAGAGGGAAGCCCGCACAACTGCGTTGGCACTCCCCTCTAAATCGTCTCCTGGGTCCTTCCCATTACACACACACACATAATGTCATTTCCCTATGGAAAAATAAATCAGAACTTTCTCGACTCTCCACCTTCTCCCTCCATCTCCACCCAGGTTCTCTGTTTCCCTTCACAACAGACTGCAGCTGTCTAGACGGTGGCTCTGGTCTCTCTCCTCTTTCTGGGTCTTGAATCGTTCCAGAACACTTTCTTAAGAGTTCTACTTCTGCTGCCTGCAATATCTCACTTTTACGGAGGTCACCATTCAACCCAAAACTCTGTATCCAAGAGTCCATTCTTAGACATCTAAGATGACTTAGCCACTGCAGTGGACAGAATTCCTCATTCCCGCCTCCTGAGAACACAGCCTTCACTCGGCTTTCCAGATGCTCCACTCTGCTGATTTGTGTCCCACCTTTCTGGACATTCCCTCTTAGTCACATTTGCTGAACTCCTCATCTCCCACTGTCTTCAGGTTGCAGTGTCCCAAGGCTCATCCATGGACCTTTTATTTTCCATCACTCCCTGCTCCCTTGGTGATCTTGCTCAGCCTCGTGGGTTTAAATCTGAATACTAATGATGCTTGCACTTATATATTTAACCTAGACCCTTCCCCTAAATTCTAGATTCATGTGTCTAACTACCAGCTCCACTGGGCCATCTCGAAGGTATCTGAAACCTAACAAGGCTATCACTGGGTTCTTGATTTTACCCCATCACAAACCTGCTCTTCCCACAGTTTTTCCACCTTGGTGAATGGAAAGCCCACACCCATCATGTCTGGGTTATAGCTGTCACCACCTCCCTCAGCTCTCACTCTGCCCACACCTCCTTCACTCTATTCTCAGCCACATGGGCCTTCCTAGAACCCACCAGGCACCCTCCCAACTCAGAGCCTTTGCAGCTGCTGATTCCTCTCCAGAAACTCCTCTGCCCAATGTCCTGAATATCTGCAGGGCACATTCTCTTCCTCTTTCACATTTTTTCCTCTTGCACCTCTTCAAGAAGCCTCCAGCGTCCACCCCACCACACACTGCTACACCACCTCTCCCAGCACTTATTCCCACCCTTCTTTGCTTTACTTCCTCCATGCATTGCTTGTAGTTCACTTATCTGCCTTGTTTAGTCTATTTTCCCAGTAAAATGTCAGCTTCCTAATGGCAGGAATTTTGCCTTTGCTTATAATTGCATAAAAACTACATAACCTCATCAAACTTTCTTTACCTCTCACACACATTCGGGAGTTGCCTGATTCATCTCTTAGAACACAGAAGAAAGTGAGCTTGGAGGTTGGCAAAGGCCATTTCTCTGCCATAGTGATCTCTCACATTAAATGTGTGTGTGTGTGTGTGTGTGTGTGTGTGTGTGTGTGTGTGTATCTGCCCAAGACCACTGTCACATCTCTGGTGATTCCTGAGAAATGCAATCTCTCTACCTTCCTCACTTTCTTCTTCAATCCTTTCTTTGCCTTCCCCTTTTTCTTTCTTTTCTCTCCATTAGTCTTCTTTTCTTTTCTTTTCTTTTCTGCCTTAAGCCTCCCATGGGCACCAAGGGGCATGCCCACCTAGCCCTTGGCCACCACTGAGGTAAACGGGACCTTCAGGCTTACCTGTGTTCTCAAAGCCGCCTGCTGCTTCCCATCCTTCCTGTTTCAATACGTTCACATCCCTTCTCATTAGCAAATAAATATATCTGTTTCTGGAGCTTTGGAGTACCTAAATAAGGTGTCAAACATTTGAGTCATTTAATAACTGCTGAGCTCTAGGGCTCCAGAATGAAGACCTGGGATCTCTCCTCAAGGCTGTCCTAATCCAGTGGAAGAGAGGGGCAGGCACACTATCAAGGTGTCAAGGTGCTGATGAGGGCGCTGATGAAGGCAGCCAGTGCAGGAGTTCCTGGAGCCCAGGTCACCAGAGAGGTGGGAGAGAGGACCGCAGGGGGAGCTGCATCCGAGATGGGTTTGCAGGCCTTGGGGGAGCTCCACAGTGGAGGCAGGTGTGCAACCCCAGAGGCGGGAGTGAGTGGGATGGTTGGGATTCTGAGCATCAGGGTGGTTTGGGTGCCAGTGCCGGGATGGAGGGTGAACAGACAATTAAGGGCCTTCAGCCTATGCTGAAGGGTTGAGCCTGCATCCTGAAGGGCTTTATGAAAGAGATGAAATGGTGCCCTACATGTTTGAGTTGGAAAGTTGATGAGTGGATCAGAAGGAGGTGAAATCAGAGGCAGGAGGAACAGCTAGAAGAGGCTATTCTGGGTTAAGGAGCTAAAGGAGAAGAGTTGGCCATGTGGGGCGAGAGGATGTGTAGGCCCACACTTCCAGTGCACGTGTAATTGCCCACCTTCTGCAGAAGGACCTGAAAAACAGTTAGACTTTGCTGAGGATTACGGGTCATTGGTGTCAAGGGGGCAGATGCTGCTTCATGCCAGCCCTCTTAGCTGGGCACCACTCTGGAGGTATGAGTGCAGTTTGTAATCTGTCACCTATCCTGCACATCTGGAAACTCCATGTCACCAACTTAATCTGAGCAGATCAGTGTCAAAGGAGCTTCGATTAAGACTCATGAGGGATTGATGTAGGAGCCCAAAGCCCCGCTATTACTTTATAGTGGGCAATTAGTCTTTGCGAGCACTAGAATACTCTTTTCCTTTCCTCTGGCCACCTCTACCCCTATCAAAGTTATAACTGATCAAATTACAGGGCAAATCTCATCTAAGCTATGGTAAGGGTAATAAATTTGTCATGTGAGCCTAGGAAATGTAGTGCAATTCTCTGACGATGTTTCCCCAATTTGTTCCATGCCAGGTGTCCACTTGGCCGTCAGTGGCCTTGCTTCCTCACCCCTGTATTACTGCTTCCACAATGACCCCCTAAGACCTTAAGGAGTTCTTTAAGAACAAAAATGCCCTGTGCAAGGCTTCAGCACTTCTGCCATGTGGATGACCTTAGCTTTAGTGTGAGAGCTGCTTCACATAGTCAGACCTTTTCATTTTCCCTTCTCTTGGAAGGACGTTTTTAGGTTCTTCTCCTTCTGAGAAGAGAGACCTTCAGGTAAAGGGAGTGTTCATTCTGTCCACTTCCAAGGAATAGTGCAGAAAACATGAGCAAAAACAAAGTAGCTTACAGACTACTTTATAAGCACTCACCGTTAGACAAACTGATACTTCCCTCAAGCTGTAGTCTGAATGTGCCATCCAAAACTCATGTGTTTGAAACTTAATCCCCATCTCAACAGTGTTGGAAGGTAGGGCCTAGGGAGATGTTTAGGTCCTGACGGCTTTGCCTTCAGGAACCAATGAACGGCACTATAAAAAGGGCTTAAGGAGAGCGTTAATCCCTTTTGCCTCCTTCTGCCATGTGATGAGGAGCAAGAAAGCCCTCACCAGAGGCTGGCCACTTGATCTTGGACTTCCCAGCCTCCACAACCATAAGAAAACATTTCCGTGCTTATAAATTACTCAGTCTGAGGTATTCTGTTATAGCAGCACAAAACAGGCTAAGACACCCCATTACACTGACCAGCTGAGCACAACAATTTCTATAAATAAAAAAAATTCCAACTTATGGGAAACTATTTGAAAATAAGTACAGGAAACACAGAAAGTCTGGAAGAAGCTTACTTAAAGTTGCAAATGGGTTAGATCTAAAAACATTCAAAATGTAATCACTGATTTTTAGTGCTACTAAGAAACATTAAATTATCTAAGAAGGCTAATTCTCCAGCCCCAAAATACTCTGTTATAATGAGGAAAAGGAGGGCCAATAATATAACGTAGAACATTTGTTGTAGGCCTTGAAGTAGCTTTTTTGGGAAGAAGGACTTTATAGCTATGCATTACGCTTGGATTTTAAACTAATTATATAATTGCAGAAATATTATGTCATATCTGTCCTTCCATAAGTGGCATAGCTTAGTTATTCTATATATGTTCATTTATTTAAATTCCATCACCCACAGTCTTATTCTTTTATTTGGAAATAATTCCAAATTTACAGGAAAGTTGCAAGAATAAAAATAATACCAAAAACACCCATAACATCTGTTACCCAGATTCACCTCTTGTCAACATCTTATCCCACTTAGTCTATCACGTGCACCCTCATCCTTTGCTTTATAAAACAGCTAAACATGAATTATATATCTCTAGGCCCTAGGCCCCCAAATGCTTCAATGCAACTTCCTATAAGAGAATTTCTTATATAGATACAGTACTGATATCAACAGTACTAAATTAACATCATTACTACGATGCTTTTATCTAACCTATCACCCATATCCCAGTTTTGTCAATTGATGCAATAATGTCTTTTATGATGTTCTCCCCATCTTCCTGTCCCATATAGATTACAGTCTAGGGCTCAAGGATGGCATTTATCTGCCCTATTTCTTATAGCCCTTCAATCTGGAGAATTTCTGGAATTTTTCTTTGGAAAATTTCTGGAAATTTTCTTTTATGACATAGACATTTCTGAAGAATACAGACAGGGTCTCACTGCGTCACTCAGGCTGGAGTGCAGTGATGCAATCTCAGCTTACTGCATCTTCAACCTGCATGGCTCAAGGGATCCTTCCACCTCAGCCTGCCGAGTAACTGGGACTACAGTCATGGGCCACCATGTCCAGCTAATTTTTTTACTTTTTGGTATACCTGGGGTTTTGCCATGTTCCTCAGGCTGGTCTTGAACTCCTGAGCTCAAGCAATCCTCCCACCTCAGGCTCCCAAAGTACTAGGATTATAGGCATGAACCACTGCGTCTGGCATCTTCCTTCTATTTTTAATACAACATTTCTCAGCATGGGTTAGGGTTCTGCCATCTCGGCGGGACTGCTATGGAGGTGAGGTGGTGTCTGTTTCCGAATTTCAAATCTGGAGGCACTTATGTCCCATGGGTGGTATGAATTCTGATCGAGGCATGATCTGACTTTCCCATTATATAATTACTCTTTTTGTTTCAGGTACAACCAATAAGCAGCCTTTGGGTAGCCGAGAAGACAAGACAAGTATCCTGCTCCTCAACTCAGTTCCCTAACTCAGCACCCTGACTCCTGCTTAGTCTACTGGTGCCTTGGTGATGTTCGAACTCAGTACTTCTTCCACATCAGCCCTCATACAGGCAAAAACACTTCCTTATGCCTCAATGACTAACGTATGTACCTGTTTATTCATAGCACAATATCTTGGACTCATGAATTCCTGTATTTAATCGCTCAAAATTCTTTCCTTTATATATTATTTTGATGCTCATATTTGATCCATTAAAAGGGCCAATGAGAATCCCCTCAACCTGGCTCCCACATTCTCAGGGCATGCCCCCATCATTTCTTTTTTTTTTTTTTTTTTTTTTTGAGACAGAGTCTTGCTCTGTCGCCCAGGCTGGAGTGCAGTGGCCAGATCTCAGCTCACTGCAAGCTCCGCCTCCTGGGTTTACGCCATTCTCCTGCCTCAGCCTCCCTAGTAGCTGGGGCTACAGACGCCCACCACCTCGCCCAGCTAGTTCTTTGTATTTTTTAGTAGAGACGGGGTTTCACCATGTTAGCCAGGATGGTCTCGATCTCCTGACCTCGTGATCCGTCCGTCTCGGCCTCCCAACGTGCTGGGATTACAGGCTTGAGCCACCGTGCCCGGCCGCCCCCACCATTTCTAAACACTTCCTTACTTTCTGGTGTAATAAGATGCTTTGGGCTCATTTGTACCTACTTTGTTCCAGGCCCTGGGGTCAGCCATTTCTCAGAACACCGGTTCCTTTTAATGGAATGACAGACCAAGACACAGTTACTAGGTGTGCTCATTGCTGCTGGGGTGTCTTTTCTTCCTGGCCCTTGCAGCAGACAGATCTAAGCAATAAGTGCATGTACACGCATGCACACACACACACACAAACACATACATGTGCACATATATATACATGTACTTATTTTAGAAATTAGGAGCCATTCATTTGTCTAAGTCTCTTTCATCACAGTGAAATCCCTGGTTCCCAAAAACATCAATGTATTTATTCACTTGCTGTATCCTATAGTGCATCTAAAATGGTTTCCTAATTGCTTGCCCATGCCTCCACAACAAAAACGCACTACTAAATAAAGGTCAGGATTTGTTCGCAACTCCTCCCCCTAATTTCTTTCACTACTCAGTACAGAATCTGGAGGATCTATAGTTAAATTCTGTGTTTATTTAGTTGATTTCCCTTTTATTGCCCTTCACTGGAAACATGGTTAAGTTCATTTGTTTTAATTTCATTTCAGTTTTTGGGTCTTTCTCTCTTTCCATTCTTACTGATTTAATGTCATTGTTTGAATATTTTTTTGAATATGCCTTCAAAAGCCAAAACTACACTTAAAGAAATACAGGCAGAAGAGTCCTTCCCACTGTATTCTTTCCACTCCATCTCCCTCCCACTCCCAGACTCTGTAGGAAGCAAATTTCGTTGTATTCAGGTTTATCTGAATTTCATCTCCTGTTGTAAAGGTGAGCAGGTAAAAATTTATTTTCTTATTTTCTCTTTTTGCTTTATATAACTCAGTGTACTATATATGTTCTTTTGCAATTTGCTGCTTTTCACCTAATAATATTTTCTAGAAATCACTCCATATCAGTTTATTGGTATCATCCTCATCGTTTTGTCAAGAGCTGTGTAGAACTCCACAGTGTGTATGTACCACAGTTCATTCAGCCAGTATCCTGTGCTTGAACATTTAGCTAATTTCCAATATTCTACAGTTATAAATAACACTGCAATTAGTTACTTTGCACACTTATATTTAGATAATTTCTAATATTTCACAATTACAAATAATGCTGCAATGAGTTACTTTGCACATGTAGATGTTTATGAGAGGTATAACTTCATGGTGTAGACCTAGAAGAAGCAGGTTTGCTTGAGTACAGGTAACTGCAAACAGTTTCATTAGATATTGTGAAATTATTCTTCAAAGGTTTTGTACCAGTTTCTAATTTACCAATTATTTTCCTTTTTAAAGAACAATAAATAAAAATTCCAAAGCATGATAGATCTGTGTATTAGTCTGTTCTCCTATTGCTGTACGGAACTACCTGAGACTGGATAATTTATGCAGAAAAGAAGTTTAATTGGTTCAGTGTTCCACAGGCTGAACAGGAAGCATGGCTAGGGAGGCCTCAGGAAACTTACGGTCATGGCAGAAGGTGAAGGAGAAGCAGGCACACCTTCAGATGGTGGAACAGGAGAGAGAGAGCAAAGGGGGAAGTACTACATACTTTTACAAAACCAGATCTTGTGAGAACTCACTCACTATCACCAGAACAGCAAGGGGGAAGTCAGCCCCCATGATCCAATCACTTCCCCTCAGGCCCCTCTTCCAACACTGAAGATTACAATTCAACAGGAGATTTGGGTGGGAATACAGAGCCAAACCATATCAATCTGCATTAGTTTAAAAATATTTAATGTGTTTTAAGGAAGTAATTTGGTTCTCCCAGCTGGAATGGTTAGGATCTAAGGCCTACTTTACCCTCAAGCAATTTGGGCTCTGGTGAACTTGAGAGTATAGAATACAAAAGCATGTTTCTGTGATACTAGTCTACTAAACCGAGCATATTTATTTTCCATCTGGTGTCCTCCATATTATGTAATAAAATATACTAGAAATAGGTCGAGTGCAGTGGCTTATGCCTGTAATCCCAACACTTGGGGAGGCCGAGTCAGGCAGATCACCTGAGGTGAGGAGTTCAAGACCAGCCTGGCCAACATGACGAAACCCAGTCTGTACTAAAAATACAAAGATTAGCCAGGTATGGTAGTGTGTTCCTGTGATCCCAGCTACTAGGGAGGCTGAGGCAGGAGAATCGCTTGAATGCGAGAGGCGGAGGTTGCAGTGAGCAGAGATTGCGCCACTGTACTCCAGCCTGGGCAACAGAGCGAGATTTCATCTATCTATCTATCTATCTATCTATCTATCTATCTATCTATCTATCTATGAAATAAATTGATTAGAACCAAATGTGATTTCTGTTCTCAATTCTGACATGTTCTTGTTCTGTGAATTTGGGAAAGTCATTTAATGCTACTAAGCCTCTGTTTCCTTGTCTGTAAAATTGGGGAAAAATAATAATTTTCATAATTACATAATGAATTTGTTTTAAGAATCAAGTGTGTGTGTCATTTGTAGGCATAATCACAAAGTTCTATCTATCTATCTGTCTATCTATCTATCACCTATCTAACTAGCTAGCTAGCTATCTGTCTGTCATCCACCCATATCTCTATATGTCTACAGTCTTTGAAACATCTCCCTTTCAAGATAGTGAGAAGACAAAAAATTTTAACTGAAATTCAGGAAACCTGGGTTTTTTCATTGATTTTTATCCTAACCACTGTTAACTCACTGTTTAATTCTAGAAATGTTATTTCACCTTTTTGAATCTTATCGTCTACATCTATAAAATGAAATGGCTAAACTCATTGAGCTGTAAGATTCTTTCTGGTCCTAAAACATTTTGATTCTTCATGTAACCTGTGTTAGGTTGGTGGTGAGTGCACTAAGAAAGTGGAAAAGAATATCACTCCCCCCTTTGAAGATTCTCAGTAAGAAATAAATTATTTAAAAATGAAACTTTGAAAAAAGAGAACTAGTACAGCTCCCTAAAGTCATTTTGAAGAAGATCATGTTTTCCACCTAGGAGGTGTGAGACCAGCCACCTTTGATTCATTGGAAAGTATTTATATTTTTTCTTGCCTTTCCATAAGATCTCGAATTTTTTAGTATGATTTTTGAGTTCGGAATCTTGAGATTTTGAACTTTGAGCATAGTTGGCTAACAAACAAAGGCTGTAAAGGAAGAAAGGAAGTGAGGCAGGAAAGAAGGGACAGGAGAAGAAAAAGGTAAAGGAAGAAGAAAGGAAGATAAAAAGAGAAAGAAGAAAGAGAGAGAGAGAAAGAAAGAAACAAACAAAGAGAAAGAAAGAAAGAGAGAGAGAGAGAAAGAAAGAAACAAAGAAAGAAAGAAAGAAAGAAAGAAAGAAAGAAAGAAAGAAAGAAAGAAAGAAAGAAAGAGAGAGAAAGAAAGAGAAAGAGAGGGGGAGAGAGAGAGACGGAGGGCGAGAAGAAGGAAGGAAGGAAGGAAGAAAGGAAGGAAGGAAGGAAGGAGAGAAGGGAGAAAGGAAAGAAGGAAGGAAGGAGGAAGAAAGAAGAGGAGAGGAGAGGATATTATGTATGTCCACTCCCAACACATCCTATGCCCAACTCAGTGACCAGGAAATAAAATGGAATCCTCCCCTTGGTAGAAGGAAAGTGAAGAGTGCAGGTGGGAAGGAAAGAGAATGTATCAATATCGCTGATGTGTACTTTATAAAATTTACCTCTATGAAGGACTTTGAAACTCTGATTCTAAAAGGGCTTCATCTTCTGGAAGAGGATCAGCCTGGCTATGCTGGCCAAGTCCGTCGAGTCCATGTCACTGTTCCCTGGGTGAGGTAGTGCCCAGTCTCTTGCTTTAAGTCCCCTGTGGTATTTTACTCACAGCTCCTGGGATGCAGGACTGACATAATCTCCAACTCCTGCCAGGCCCCGAGTGCCATCCTGCTTTCTCATTCATTGTGCCAGGGGCTCCTGTGAAAGCCTCCTTGTGCTTCCCACCCTTTCCCCACCCTGGAAGACACCAAGGTCCAGTCTGCCTTTGTCTTCCACCTGCCTCCAATCATTTGCAGACGCTGCATCACTGTCCTTAGGCAGGCATCACTCAAGCCCTCCTTCTCTCCATTCCTAGTGGCTGGCGTTAGGCCCTTCTCATTTTCCGCTGAGACTCCACGGAGGTCACCTGACACATCCCCTTCCTCAGTTTTCCCTCTGTCCCAGCCTTCATTGTAACTGTATGAAATGGAAATATGAGCAGCTTAACAACATCCAGAAACTCTCCTCAGGACAGAGACCCAGCCCAGGTGAGCCCAGTGAGCCCTTCATGGCGGGCTCCTGCCCACTCCTCCAGCTCTGTCTTCCTCCACTGGCCTGGGGCTTCTTCTTCTCCAGTCACACAAACACCTGGAGCTCCCAGCATGCCAGCTCCTTCATGCTTCTGTCCTTTACTGATGCTCAGTCCTCTCCCAGGATAGCTTGCCTGGGCTCCTTTCCCAGGCCATGGTCTGCCGGGCTGGCTGTGCTCCCTCTGTGGTGCTCCACTCCACTTGCTCCTGGAAGCTCTCACCCTCTGTCCTCCACCTTGGGAGGAAGCTGGATAGCTCCTCAGAACAACCTATGACAAGGCATACTTTATCCCATTGTATTAGGGCAGTCAGGGTGTGTGTGTGTGTGTTTGTGTGTGATGTGTGTGTGTGTCTGCGTGTGCCTGTGTGTGGTAAGGGATGTGATCTAGAACAGAAACCCTAGCCTCTTGTTCTCACAGAACAAAGGAGGTGGTTGCTGCTTCCAGTCAGAGACCCAGCAACACCAGAGTCAGCCCTTTGGTGGTGCTGTTGTTCCTCTTCCTCCCACTCTTCCTTTCGTGAACAAGATTCCCTGTGGAGATCCAGGGGCCATTTTGTGTCCAAGGTATGAAGATGAGGGAAGAGAGGTTGACATCAACTGGCATCATTGTTGATGTCGTTAGGAAAAAGAAAACCTTTTCCACAAACCTCCAGCAGACGGCTCACACCTCATTGGCCGGGACTGTCACAGACCACCTCTGCCCACAAGAGCAGAAGGTAGCATGACTGTGTCACGTGGACAAAGCACACAGCCCCCAACAGAACTTGGAAATGCAATCACTCAGCTTTATCCCTAACCCCGCCACAGGTCCATGTCCCTCTCTGTTCTCAGTCTCCAGCATTCGGCAGGCACCTGGCGCACAACAGACGTAGAATCAAAATCAGGCAGATAGAAGTCAAGGGGGCTTTTGGTGTATCACTTATGTTTTCATCTGTCTTAGCATGAAATGATTTTCTGATGGTTTCCAGGCAGGAGTTAAATACAGTAGGCACTGCGCTTATCATACTGAACATGTTTTGATTTGGTATAAAGTATTTTGTTCAACTACTTCCATTTTCTTGTGAGATTTCACTCTTGCTACCCATTAGTGACTACAGATTTGGGTCAATTTGTGAAAAAAGAGCTATTATATATCAAAACATCTTGACTTTAGAATAGTAACTGATATGCAATAACAGTGATAGCACTGATCAATTGGAGGCCAAATGTCTTTAAGGAACAGACAGAAGAGTTGTCAAAAAAAAAAAAAAAAAGGTAAAAGAATTGCTAGGCCCAGCTAAATGCCAACATAAAAAAGTGTCTTCTTATAAATTACAAAATGCAGAATTTTGCTCAAAGTTAAATTGGACATCCTATGTTCAACTATGTACGCTTTGGGAATAATATTTTTTTATATGTAGGCAGCGCATGCTAGTGAGCTGCACTGAAAGTCGGAGATGTTTGGGAACGTGCTTCGCTGCTGTTTCTTATTAAGTGTTTGTCTTCCAACTCCTCCTCCCCTGTGCTGTCTGCAACAACGCAACACAAGGGTTTCCTTCTGTCAAAAATAAATCATATGGCATTGAAAGTTGTGAAGTTGCTTGTCTCGGATTTGAGGCATTTCTCAACACACTAAGGCTTTAAATGTTAGGGATTCTCTGGCAAATCTGGAATTTTCCGTAGAGAAATGCTAAGATTTTGACTAACGTACAAGTAAAAGAACACGCTGCCACGGCATGTAATCCATTTATAATTGGATCTTTGATCCAAAATTTTTTGATTACTTCTTTTGGTAACCATAGTAATATTAAAATAAAACATAAACATATACAACGAGTGCTGTAAGAGAATTATTATGGCGTATATGTGCACATGTTCAGCTTGAACAAAGATCAAAGATGGAAAGTCTTATATAACCATGTGTCTGAGGAAATTCTATACAAATCAAGGAATGGTTGCAATGAACATCTTTAATTTATTTCGCTGGCGCTAAGTCTCTTTTTTTAAAAGAGATTGCTTGCATCTAACAATTGTCTTTTATTTCTTAAATACATTCTGAAAATAGCTAATAAAATATTTCAACAGCAAGTAATTGTAAAAGCAAAGGATATAATTAGCAGTGTTCATAGATGACAGAAAATGGGAAACATGCTGCATATGGGTTGAAAAATGAAGAAGCAGGAAGAAAATCAGAAGTGTGGCCAATTATTGCAGCAGCCCATAGGACGAGACTGTAGGGTCAACCCTGGTCCTAGTTCTCAGCTTTGCAGTAGCCATCACTGGGGATAAAGAGTGGGAGTCTGAATTCAGACCTACAAGTAAGCGCTCTCTTTTTGCCTGGTGTAGCTCAGTCTAAGGGCCTAGGATCCCTTTCTGTCATTGTTGAGTTAGAGAAAGCACACTTCCTGAGCATTGCCCATGTGCTGGGCACGGAGTACAGGCTGCAAGCAAACAGCACAGCCAGTGTCCGCCAGAGTGTGTGGGGTTGGGGGTTGGGAAGACAGGGACCGAACAAAGGGAATAATATATAAGTCAATACATAACTACAAGTCGTAATACGTGCTGGGAAGGAAAATTACGCCATGTATTCATTGATCACAATAAATGCAGTTGGGATGGAAAATAGGAAGGAAGATCTCTTTGAAGTGACGTTTCTGGTAGAGCCTCAAAACAGTAGGAGCCACAGCCAGGAGAGAGGTGAGGGGAGGGAGGACCTAGGTGGAGGAAACAGCATGTGAGGTTGCTCAGGACAGAAAGGGCCTTCTGGAGACTGAGGGACAGGGAGGTGCACAAGGCAGCAAGGGAACGAAAGGAGCAGATAACATGGGGCCTTGGGACTGACACTCAGACTTGGGTTTATCCTAAGGCAGTGGGTGGTCATCAAAGAGTTTTAAGCAAGAAGGGGACAATTTGCTCTCTCTTTTGCAAAAGGCCAGCAGTTTCCCATCTTCCCTAGCCATGCAATCCATCCCACATTGCCTCTGCAAGTTTTTAGAAGGACAGTAAACTGAGAATGTGTGGCTATCTCCTGGCCCTGCACCAAAATCTAGAAAATGAGAAAACACATTTTAGGCCGGGCGCGGTGGCTCACGCCTGTAATCCCAGCACTTTGGGAGGCCGAGGCGGGCTGATCACGAGGTCAGGAGATCAAGACCATCCTGGCTAACACAGTGAAACCCCGTCTCTACTAAAAATGCAAAAAATTAGCCAGGCGTGGCGGCGGGCACCTGTAGTCCCAGCTACTTGGGAGGCTGAGGCATGAGAATGGCGTGAACCCAGGAGGCAGAGCTTGCAGTGAGCCGAGATCACACCACTGCACTCTGGCCTGGGCGACTGAGTGAGACTCCATCTCTGCACTCAAAGGAGGAGACTGTGAGGACCCTGGAGAGGCAAAGCCAGTGCGAATGAGAAGGGAATCAGAGGATGGGGATGATGAGGGGGCAGGAGGGAGTGAAGGGAGACCAATAGGGAAGCAGCTGGTGCGGTGGAGATCCTTCACAAAACCCACCCTCCCCTCTGCCCAAACAATTAGAGCCCAAAAAAGGCCATGTATTTCCCAGGCTCCCTTGCAGTTAGATGTGGCCAGCATGGGTTACTTTTGCTTGAGTAACAGGAGTGAAGTTGCTGTGCCCCTGCCCAAGCCCAGTCGCCTGTTATAGCCTCCTTCCTCTCCTGGTAGGCTGCTAAGCCAGGACAAGTGCAGCCTTGCAAACCCGGGCTCCCAGGACTCAGGCCTGTAACACAGGCGAGAAGTCCATGTCTTTGTCATTGAGTCACGCTATTGTGGGGTCACTTGTTACAGCAGCAGAGCCTTTCTTGCTGACTAATGAGAGCAGAGGAGCAGCCAGGCCTGCATCCTCCTCGCCCCAGTGGTGCATTCATGGCAGGAACCTGGAATAACCACTGTGTCTAGGCTCAAGTGTGCTCAGGGCAGGGCTTCTGGTGGTGAGTGATGCTCAAGATGGAGAGCCCGGCTGCGGAGACAGGCTGGTACCTGGGTAGCACATCTCACTCACCCAGGGCTGACTATGTAATTTGCAGGGCCCAGTGCAAAGTGAAAATGCAGGGCCCCTTATTCAAAAATTATTCAGAATTTCAAAAAGGTGACAGCCAAGTAATAAGCAAGCCCAAGACATTACTGAGTAAAAGTTCCTAAGAGACTACAAGGCCCAGGAAACAGGCCTGTCCCACCCCACTACTATCCTGAAACAGTGAGCTCCTGCCTGTGCAGCTGCCCCATCTCCCAGCAGGCTGCACCCAGGAGCCTGTGAATGTCCATCAGGGCCTCAGCTGTAAGGAAGAGCCCTGAATCCAGGTTCACACTCATTGGAGGAGCATCACCAGTATGACAAGAGGGAGCAAAAACCAGCCTAACTCACTCAGCAAAAAAGGGAGATAGCAGAGCAACCACCCCAGGACTCTAGGATGGGATCAAAGCCACTAAAAAAAAAAAAAAAAAAAAAAAGTCACTGCAGGAGAGCCTTAGTTTATTTCTACCCTGATATTTATAAATTGTGAGCAAGCTGGCTTAAATGACTCTGAGTTCCCATAAGCAATATTCCTTCACATAAAATCATAAACTAGAACAGGTTCCTTAGTGTGGTAGGCAAAAAGATGGCCCCAGGATGTCCATGGCCTAATCCCCACAGCCTGTGACTATGTCACCTGACTTTGCAAAGTAGTGGATTTTTGCAGATGTCAAGGGTATGGAGCTTGAGATGGGGAGGCCAACCTAAATGATCCAGGTGAGCCTGCCCAATTTATTCGTGTGAATCCTGAAGAGAGGCGCTCCTTCCTCAGCTGTTCAGAAGGAGAGGGAGACTGGCGGGCTCTGACCATGGAGGAAGGGGCTATGAGCAGAGGAATGCAGCCAGGGGCCAGGAGAGGGATTCTCTGAGAGCCTCCAGAGGAACAGAGCCTGCCCACACGTTCATCTCAGTTTACACTTCTGACCTGCAGAACCGTAAGATCATAAATCATGGATTTTTGCAGTTCTAAACTACCACATTTGCAGTAATTTATTACAGCAGCAATAGAAACCTAATACACTTAGGTTAGCAGTAACCAAAAACACCAAAATTACTTTTCTTCACAAAATCCATTCTATGTTCGGCGGTGCACATGGTGAGGCACTATTGAAGGGAAGAGCCAAATGATGTAAGAATGTAGTCTGCTCCCCCAAATTCTCAAATAGACAGGGGGATCTTTGTAAAAGATGTAAATGAGCGAGGGAGCCCTGGTGGCTTTTGGTATCTTATCTCACTATGTTTTTAAGAAGGCAGAGGGTCCATTTCAAGCTGGGGGTGCCTGAGGGGGTGCTAACACCATGCCTGGGGGTGCTGTTCCCAGAAGGCAATTTGAAGAGGAAACCTGGGTGAAGTATCAGTGCTAACTGACATTCATGTTTGTTTGTTTGTTTTGTTGTGGTTATATATATGTATGTGTGTGTGTACACACATAAATATATAAATTTTCCTTTGTCACCATCTTTAAGGATGCAATTCGGTGGCATTGATTAAATTCATGATGGTGTGGTACAAGCACCATGATCTATTTCCAACACTTTCCATCATCCCCAACAGAACAATATTCTACCTATTGAACAGTAACTCCCGACACCCCTCCCCCAGCTCCTTGCAGCCACCACTCCACTTCCTGTCTCTATGAATTTGTCTACACCAGGGACCTCATGTAAGTGGAATCCTGCAGGGTTTGTCCTTCTGTGACTGGCTCGTTTCACTGAGCACAATGTTCTTATCCATGTTGAGGCACGGGTCAGTGCTCCCTTCCTTACGGCTCATGCTCCATTGCATGGATGCACCACGTTTTGTGTACTCATTCATCGATGAGGGGCACTGGGCTGATCCTTCCTCTCGGCTATGGTGAATACTGGCTACGGCTGTTGTGAATCCTGGTGCACAAGCATCAGACATTCCCATTTTTAGTTCCAGGGACATGCAGTGCCTTCTCCCCCAGGAGGGTTGAAAGCTCCATGTCCCTGGGACATTATGAATGGCACATCTCCCTCCCCAAGGGGATGTAGTGTAGCGGGATTGATGGGGGAAGTTTAGGCACTGGCTGATTAAAATGTTTATAGAATGACTTATGGACTCGGAATTGCGGATTTGGACGCACTTGAGTTTTTTAGTTTTTTTGATAATTAGTGGTGGAATTTTAAGGCCTGTTTTTTGTTTATCAGTCTCTCTAATTCCTTATCAATCTCGCTACATTTCAAGTAGACATGTAAAAATTTAAGGCTGGAGGGCTGAATCAGGCCTAACCGATACAGTTATTTTTCTAGTGTCCTTAAGAGTACATCTTGTCAGTCATTCTGTTCGGAGACCGTGAGAAAACCATTGGTCTGGAACCCCAGATGTTCTGTGCAGTCCTTGGCTTGTTTTGCCTGGATACCAGAAGCAGCATTTGTGCGTGGGCCCAGCAGCGGTATCTGTCCCCGCACCGTCTTCAGGGCTGGCCCCGGGCCCAGGTCCTCCTACTGCCGGGGAGTAGTGGCCGCAGCTCCAGGCTGAGGTCCGGCTCTGTCCACGGGGAACCACGCGTGGGTGCAGGCACTGGGTCTTGGATCACACATGCGCACTCCGAGCACAGCGCATTACTCTTTTTTCCTGCCCAGATGACTTTTTAAATAGAAAAATAACCCTGACTCTAACGTGTTCTCAGCCCGTGAACAATGGATACTTGCTGGACAAGGGGCTGCGGGCCCTATCTGCAGGCAGCTTGGGCCTGTAGGGGAGGTTCCAGTGACTGCAACTCCCCGGGGGCTGGGAACACAGGACCCCAGCCTCCCAGCCCTACCTCCTTCCTTGGAGGGAAGGGAGGGCTGTGACCCCTTTCTGGGGGGCTGTGAACTGCTCCCTCCCAGGTCCCTTCCCTCTTTCACTCTCCCCTTGGAGGACTAGGGGTCCGCAGGGGCAGGGGATTACATAGGGTGGCACCCGTCACTACAGAGGGGTGCAGGGTTGCAGTAGCGGGGGCTGGGGTGCCTGGGGCACTCAGGAGCCGTGCGGGGGCGAGTGCACTGGTGCGTGTGGGTCGAGGGAATGGTGACAGCGGAGGCGGGAGCTGAAAAGGCACGGGGGCGGCTAGGGGACCCTGCGCTGGAACTGCCGGCCCTCGCGCGCCCCTCGCGGGCCCCCCCGGACCCCCCACCCGCCCGCGGCTGCTGCCGTCAGAGCCGCCTGCGTCAATGCTGCTCGGTGACACACACAGCTTTTTTTCTTCTGCTCCTTTTTCTCAATGAGAGGAGCCTAATGGGATTTTTATTATCAGACTCATAAATCAAACCGTTAGGCCGTCACGTCTGGCACGTGGACAACACCCCCGCTCCCCGCCCCCCGCGGCAAATGGAGGGGGCTAGAGCTGCGTTTTCCCCTTTTCAAGAAAATCTTCAAATATTTTATCTTTATGTTTTGAAAGTCGCAGCAATAAACAGAGCTCGGCTTGCTGTGGCTGGTGCAGCTCTACACGGATGCAGAGCTGGTCCTCCCGTTCCCTGGAAGTGGTTTTGCAAAGTTGTTGGTTTTGCAAACAATAAAAGGGTGAAAAATGGGGTTTGCAGGCAAATCGGTTGGTTAGAGGGAACCGACAGATATTTCAAGCTACTGCAACATAAATCTATGTAAACATTGCATCAGTGGGGGTTGTGGGCACAGACTTTGGAGCAGCCCTGCCCTGATGCTTGTGTTCCTGACACAAAACAAAATCCCAGCTATGAATGCAAATCAAGGAGCAAAGACGTCAGCAACTAAGGCGATCTGGAGCGCTAGGAATCCTGAAAGCTTCTGCATTCTCATGGCTACTTGTGTGTAGATTTCTAATAAGATAAATCGGCACTGGTGTATCTAATTAATGGTTGTCCTCCGACAAGCCACTGGACAGCACTTATTAGCCATGGGAGTTGGGAAGCCAGGTGAACCCCCAAAGGAATCTCAGTGCAGCCCCTTCCTCATTTTGGGCAGAGACTCAACCAGAGTGTGAAAGCGGAGCAAAGTCAAAGGGGGTCCAGGGACTAAGCTGTTGGGGCAAGGACCCTTGGAGAGGGAGGTCCCAGTTTCCAGAGTCGGACACAGAAAAATATGTTCCACCTCTTGGGTATTGCCTCTTGTGAGCAGCCATATATATTCACGGGGTCATCTAACAGGGAACTGTGAAGGGTCTGCAAGCCCGTCATCTGGTCACTCTGAAGCCAGGTCTCCAGGTTCCCTGATGAAATTATCCTGCCTGTGATGGGCGAGTGTTCCGGGAACCTTTGGGACAGCCTTTGCTGGCTCGCAGCTCATCAAAACTTTACAGAGCTCAAGGCATGGTCTTCAATTAAAAGCCTGGACCACATGTCAGGTGGGCAGAGGGCTACCGCTTTAGGGTAAAGTGGCTACAAGGAGAGTGGCCTGATATTTTGTATATATTCATGATCATTTTAATTTCCTCTTCCCAGCCTGTGTTCTGCATTTCTCCAGATGTCTTCAAAGGACATATAGGATGCCCAGGAGCAGAGTGGTTGGGTCTGTTCTTTCTAATTCCAGACCTTTCTGGTCTTGAGTCATGGTTTTCTCAGGGTCCAGTGAAAACAGCAGCGCTCCGGAGCTGCAGACCCAGGCTGGGCGCTGCCGCAGGGGCGCACTTGTCGGCCAGTAGCCACCGCCTAGGATCCATTGCCCTGCGCAGTTGGACGGCTTCCACGCATCATCTAGTTCTCACTGCATTCTTATAGCAGGACAAGTTCTCTGGATTTGTGTGAACTTTTTAAATAAGAGTTAATAAGTCAATGATTGCCAGATGAGAGAGGCACCTTATGTGTTTTTAAGAAGCATCAAACTCGCCTCCCACCTCCATATTCTTCCACCCCAGCAAAGAAGGAGCCAGGAATGCACTGCAAGGGGGAAGGGAGGGGCGGGAGGATCCGTGAGAGGAAAGAGAAATATTTGCATCTTCACTTGTGTGCATCATTAGGGTGACCCGTGGGTGCCAAAGATGATGTATTTTATACTGAACATGGTATTGGCAATTTTGGGGTGCGCAGTGAAAAAGAAATTGGCGTGAGCACATCTAGCCTTAAGACACGATTTCAAATATAACTTCCGTCATTCACATCTAGACCCATATGCTGATATGAGTAATAACTGTGCTAAGCAAAAGTAGATTAGGTGCAATAAATATAAGACCTATATTCCCATGTTGATTGATGGACTTCAGTGGAATATTCCATTTTAGCAACCGATATATTGCATAAATGAGTTAACATTGGTCCCATTGCAAAATGATTTTTTATACAGAATTAGAGAGGCTGACATCAGGAATGCTGCTAGAAAATTATTAGCTCACTTTTTACATCCAAGGGGGTGAAATGATACACTTTGGAAATTTGTACAAATAGACAAGTGGATGGATGTCGATGTCAGTGGGGAGAAACGGGGGGCCAGGTCCCGTTTTGAGGAGAGGAGGTGGGCCCGGCGGGGGCGGAGGAGCGGGTCGCGCCGCTGACATTAGCCAAGGACAAGATGGGGTGGGCGCCTGCCGGTGGCCGACTCCGCCCCTGCCTCTCAGGGGTGCGCGTCATCCGCGCAGCCGCGGATCCTGGCCCGGGGAGCCACTGGTCCAGCCTTGCGCCTGGGAGCCGGACTCGGAGACGTCCACCCGGTGGAGAGACGCGAGGGAGGCGTGCAGACAGGGGCTGCTCACACGGAGAGCCCGGGAAGCCGGCAGGGCGCAGGCGGGGCGGGTCCCGGGGCAGAGCAGTGACCATCTGCGTCCTGCATAGCGCTGCCACCAGGAGAGGAAAATCCACTGGAGGTTGTGCTGTGTGCGTTCTCCAAGAGGGAAGCACAGTACCGGCACTCCCTTCGTCCGCTTCAGGAGGACCGCACAGTGTGTGGGGGTGTGTGTGTGTGCGCGCGCGCGCATGTGCCTGTGTGTGCATGTGTGTATGTGCGTGTGTGCGTATATGCGTATGTGCGTGCGTGTGTGTGTGTGGCTCGTGCACATACGTAAGCACACCCTCGGTACATAGAAACTCACAGAAACATACAGTAATCCTGTATAAAGATTATGAGTCTAGAAAACATATACTGCCTGTCATTTTTCTCGACTGTCTCTGTGCCTTCTAGATATTTCGGTGTCCTCCGCGTGCTTCATTTTTATCAGACTCCTGGGTGTGTGCAAGGAGGGAACGCAGGCGCGGAACTCAGGCGCGGAAGATGTAGTTTGTGCATTAGGAAGCCTCCGTTCGAGCGCCACTGACGTCTGCACCTCTGCGCTGGGCTCTGCTGCAATACATCAGACTGACTGCAGGATCGCTGCCTCTTTGCTCTAATATATGTGCACTTCTGGTTAGGAAAATCCTCAGCCATACCGTGACTCTAGCTAGCTAGTCAATGTATTCTAATTTTGTTAATTGAAAGGAAGGACTAAGGAGGGAAAAGAATGCAAAGGAAACATGAAAAGATTTTACAAATTTTTAAATGCTTATTTTTCCAGATGGAAGGTTGAGACAGTACGAATAGAGACACTTCATGGCTGCAGATGTTGATGCTTTTGCTAAATGAACAGCCCAACTCAGTTCTGTGAAATTGCATCATATTTCTTTTCCAGAAGACACAAATCTTTTGATTGTTGTGCTTCTCTTTGTATATGTTACTGTTAAAAAAATTTGAGGAAAAAATACTTTAATGTGACGTCAATTCTTAGATTTCATCCGTCTCAATAATTTTTGCAGGGCGTCATCACTTCACTTTCAGTGTGATGACATTTGCTTTTGAATGTATTGTCTTGTGTTGAGGTCATGGAAGATATGAATGAGGCAGGAAGATCGTTACAAATGAACCATAATTAATATCTACATAGTTCTCATGGATTGTCAGGCAGCCCCCTAGAGTGCTGATTTGCTAGCGAGCTGTGGGGGTCACTCTGCAGGGGGACCGGGCAGGCCTAGAAGTAACTGTAGATTCCCCTTTGAGAACTTGTCACTGGGCTTGGGTATCCCAACATTAATACTCTCGCATGAGTAGAAGCCGCAGAATGTCCTGGAACCTCAAGGAGCGTTTGGGGGTAACAATGCGGACATGAGGAAACCGCTGTAGAAGCAGAATGGTGGAGTTCTGTCTTGGGACAGTATTAGCACCTGTCGGGGAGTGGACGTTGTGCCAATTTGCTAGGGTTGCCCTAACAAAGTCCTACAAAACTGGGAGGCTCAAAACAAAAGAAATAGCTTTTCTTACAGTCTGAAGGCTGGAAATCTGAAATGAAGGCGTCAGCAGGGCCAGGCTCCCTCTGAGACCCTGTGTGGGTCCCCTCCAGCTTCTTCCAGCTCCTGGTCCTGGCAGACAATCCTGGCGCTCCTCGGCATGTAGCTCATCACTAATCCCTGCCCTGCTGTCAAGGCTGTCTTCTTCCTGAGTGTCTCTGTCTCTGACTCTTGTCCTCTTCTTAAGGGGACACCAGTTGTATTGGATTGGAACCTGCCCAAATGACCTCATCTTAACTTGATTACATCTGCAGATATCTTATATTACAAATAAGGTCATATGGACAGGTGCCCATCTTTTCAAAGGACACAACGCGACCCACGACAGATGTTTTGGGATTGTACTTCTGCTTCAGCCAGTGAGGAACTTGTCCTGAATTTCTCAAAAGAGGTGATGAAGAGTAACAGAGGGAATTGGGCCAGAATTTCCACACCATCTAGCATTACAGTGTTCCGTGGCTGATGGCATTAGCAGGTCAGCATTAGCAGC